CGATTGTTCACGTTATCACACCGCGCCACAATCGATGTTTATTTTCATCGATTTACATGCAGATTCAAATCATTATTGATGTATATCGGAACGGATAAAAGCATTTGCATACGCGTTTTATTATTGAAATTTCCAATACAGTTCCCCCATACATTATTTGACGTGAAATCGTTTATCTTGTTCCTTTGGTAACATCGAAGAAAGGGGGCAAAGGAAACTGTATAAAACTGCACGATACGAAGTTATATACGCGAGATTACGACTTGGGGGGGAGGGGGAAAAAAACGTCACTTTTTTTTTTTTTTTTTTTTTTTTTTTGTATTTCAATGGCACACACAACAACACACCCGAGAAAGAATTTGTTTAAACGGGACGGGGAAATATTACGATCCATAAATCGTCTCTTTCCAGATAAAACTCTTCAAGTTTCACTAGTCAACCCCTCGTTTCGTTTAAAATAGTATCTCGTATTTTTTTTTTCTTTTCTTTCTTTCGAAACGTGTCATTTTTAATTGCACGAAATTCCTTCCCTCTCGTATTTTATCCCCTTCGATGATCCACATCCAAATTCCGATAAAACTTTTCAACGAAAAACTTCTACGTTCGTTCGTTTTGTCTACGCGGATTCTTTCCTTTTCGCGAGACAAATTGTCGCGAATAAATTTTTATCGCGACAATGAAACGAAACGAAACGAAACGAAACGAAAATAATAATAAAAGGACCGTAATATTTCAATAATCTTCTCATCTTCGCTCGAATACTCGGAAAAGCAAAAAGGAAAAAACGAAAAATAGAAAAAGGTTAAATCGAGAAACAACGAGTATATTGAACTTGCTTTGATTCCCTCCCCTCCTTCCACAGGATGATGGAACAACATCAAAGAGCGTGGCCGGTTTAATATTTTGTTTCGCGGAAGAGGAGGCGGAAAATTTCGCAGCCGGAGAGAAGAGAAAAAGGAAGAAAGTGGAGGAATTAAGCAACTGGGTCAATACTCGAAATATAGGTGGAATTAACGAGCAGCCAATCGATATCACAAGAAAACGTCAAAAAGGTGAAAACGTCTGTCGCTTAGCTCGCGGCCTGTCATTACTTTTCAACCGGGATAATCCTGTGCAATTACCGCGGGCCGACGGCCGCCTATTCTTCCTCCAAAATACTCGATCGGCGGTGAATTCGTATCGATGGCTAATCGTTAGATACTGTGCCATTTCCCACGGAGATGGGATGAAACGGCGCTTGATGGAGAGTGACACGGAGAATTCGACACGAGGACGCACAGGTAATCGTATTTTTCTTATTCTAAAAAGAATAAAAAAAGAAACGTGCGTATGTAAATGTATGTGCGTGTAAAATAATTAAAGACACAGTTGATTCGAGGCTTAAATGTTATCGTGCAGAAAGCCAGAAGAACAGTTCTTAGTTTTCATCAATCACCTGTTCTCAATTAATTGTTCTCAACCGTTGTTTCAACCGTTCGAAGACTATAAGCGTCTAATTGGTTGTCCAATTTCAACACTTCTTCTTATCTTACGATATAATTTAAAAATTATAAGTATAAAGATGCAGAATGGTTCGCTAACGGATCATACTTGTCCCTCTTTTTTCCGTTTCTATTCTTCTTAAATTTCTGATTCGAGTATACATTTTATATATCACCGCTTATTTCATTAAATTTCTTTTAAAATTTGATCCTTTGCACTCGTATATCCTACATTTCATTATTATGCATATATTTACATTAGCAGGGAATCACCCAAATACGGGCGACGCGACGACGAACGTGTTAATCATTTCATCGATCATATTTCAGTCAGAATGGATACCTAAATCTCCCTTCCTGAATCTCGAAAATTCTAAGCTTGCAACGACTATTTCGACACGAATAACTGATTGGTAGAAATCGAAACTGCGCGAGCAATTTCAAGTGTTATTATCAAATTTTACCCCGTCCACGAGCACGATCGAGATCGAGGAAATTATTCACCCGTCAACGTGGAAACGGGGTGAAACCGATGCTGAACAGTCGAAGGGGAGGAAAGTCGGGCCGCGTTAAGTAACACCGTGATCGCGATAAAGACGGAAGGAGGGATGGACGAGGAGGGTGAAAAGGAGAAAAGGATGGAGGGAGGTAGGTAGTTGTTATCACGGTTCCGTGATAAGTGAGAGTCCTCAGACTGCACGGTACCGTTGCGGTGCTCTTTCATAATGATCAAGCCCCTAGAAACCAACCCTCCCCCACCGTCTTCCCGAACAAGCGTCTCACATTTTTGTCACCCTCTCTCGCGCGGCGAGAGAAGGGAACGAGACCTCCTCCTCGTCGTCGTCGTCCCCTCCTTCTCCTTCTATTTTTCTCGTTAATTTCCAGCCTCGCCCCGTAATTGATCCGTTACCTAAAAGTTTTAAGTATATACACAGCGTGAAATTAACCGAAATTAATCTCTTTTTTCCATCCAGGGGAAAATTTATATACACGACGAATATGAATAATTATTTATCCGCGTTCATCGTAAGTTGGCCATTTCGGGCCGTTCCCAGCTTTGAAATAAATATAGTTGTACATGGCGAAGTGTAATTTGCGGTACACCCAGGATATTATGCTAATTATTATGTTAATTAATGCGTCTGAATTTAACGCTGGAAACATTTACATTTAACGGGTTACATACCCGAATGATGCCTCGGGTATGAACGCGTTCTCTGTAATGAGAATTTTTTTTTTTTTTTCTTTTTCAATTATCCTCGATATTATTCTCAAGATTCAAAGTTTCGAATTTGGAGAATGAATCGTAAGGATAAAAGGAATAATTTCCTTGATCGCATGTAATTGTTTGAAGAAAAATTGTAGAATTTTGTTTTTTTCAATTATCCTCGATACCAAGATTCTTAAGATTCAAAGTTTCGAATCGTAAGACGAATAATTTTGTGATTTGTGATCGCACCTAATTGTAGAATTTTTTTCTTTTTCAATTATCCTCGATACCAAGATTCTTAAGATTCAAAATTTCAAAGACGAATAATTTTGTGATTTGTGATCGCACCTAATTGTAGAATTTTTTTCTTTTTCAATTATCCTCGATACCAAGATTCTTAAGATTCAAAGTTTCGAATCGTAAGACGAATAATTTTGTGATTTGTGATCGCATCTAATTGTAAAATTATCCTTGATACCAGGATTCTTAAGATTCAAAATTTCAAAGACGAATAATTTTGTGATTTGTGATCGCACCTAATTGTAAAATTATCCTCGATATCAGGATTCTTAAGATTCAAAGTTTCGAATCGTAAGACGAATAATTTTGTGATTTGTGATCGCACCTAATTGTAAAATTATCCTTGATACCAGGATTCTTAAGATTCAAAGTTTCGAATTTGGAAAACGAATCGTAAGGATAAGAGGAATAATTTCCGTGATTTGCGATAGCGCGTAATTGTGTAAAAGAGAGTATAAAAATATTTCTATCCGTTAAAAACAGGATATAATTATAAATAGTGGAATTTGCTATAACACCGGCATTCTCCATCGATTTATATAAATCGTACGGAGTATAAGTAAGTAGTCGCATTTATACGCTAAGTGTAATGCCTATGGAACGTCGTCGCCCCGTTTTTCCCGATAACAGTCAATTTTATAACTCTATTAAGAGTAAATTAATGAATTCTGTCCGCAAATATTGACAACCAAGTAACCTTTTCATCGAACGAGAGCTAAGATCGGATAAAACCTGTACTATGTTCTTCTATTATCATGATCCGATGAAACGCGATAAAACACTCTTTAAAAAAGAAAAAAAAAAAGGAAAAAAAAATGGAAAACGGAACGTTAAAATAGACACTTTGCAAATTAAAATGCTTTTTACATCTCTGGCAACGAAATTAAATTACCTTTCAATAAATATTCGATCATTTTGATACGTATCACTTATCGGGAATTAATTTATTTCCTCGTTTCGAAACATTTATTAACCATAATTCTATCTATCGAAAAAGAAAAAAAAAAGAGAAAAAGTTATGTCTGTAAAATAATTTTATAAATCTCATTTACCAAGAAGAAAAGAAAATTTGTATTTACCTTGTACATTAATTTAAACGTATAGCAAATCGCTAAATTCTAAATCCAATTCTAACCTAAAAATTATTCAATCTTTTTTGTTACAATTCATTTTACAAAATTTCCTCTGAAAAACAAGAAAAACAATCTCGAAAATCTCAAATATAAAAAAAGAAAATAAACGATCGTCTCAACATTTCCACGATATCTTATTTGACAGCAGCCTAGTCTCCAGTAATGTAATTACACTCGACGTATTTTATATATATATATATATATAATTGTATCGATTGCTGATTCTTATACACGGAACCGACCGCGATTCGTAACTTTCATCCACGACGAGATCGATAAAGCGTGAAATTGAAATTTCAATTCGGCTGCTCCGGATCCACAATGGATCCGCCGGAGAAACACCGTGAAATTATGAACCACCACCACCGCCGTCGTCGCGGCTCCTTACACCGATCGAAACCAACCACCTTGCGAAAAATGATTTTTTCCCGTCGATTTAAAATTTAAATCGTAGCCTTCTTCTACTACAAAAAAAAGGGGGGGGGGGAAGGGGATAGAGAAAATACATCACGACGTCGCCGTTGATACGTACGTACGTACGACACGACACGGAATTTCGTTTCACGGGCTGAGAAACGTGCGCACGACGTCGCCAATTACGACGTATCCCCGAACTTCCAACTATCCGCAACACGGTTTAAGGATACAGTTCAATTAATTAAACCGAATCTAATTTAGCTTGATTAAGCTAACGATGTCTAATGTAGTTTAATGTAATTGCTTCGGTCGACGACTCTGAGGATCACCTCCACCAGGTCTCTTTTATTCTATCGATCTTTCATCTCGCGCCTCGACCTCCTTCCGCTCCTCTCCCAACCTTCCCTCCCTCACCCCTCATTCGCGAAAGCCCTATTTGAATATGTATTATCACATTACCGATGTAGGTCTTCGAAACCCGGATGTAATATGTTAATTGACGTTTAAGCGATCCCCCAAGAACACCCGCCACTCCTCTCCCCCTCCCTTCCTTGTTAAACGCCCAGTGGACTTCTTTCATTCCGTTTCGAGGATCGTTTGGTCGAGCGGTTCGCGTACAAATTACGAAGTTACCCTAATTCCTTCCGTGGCGTGCGAGGTGTTTACTTTTAGAAGAATTCGTTTCTCCGACTGCCCCATTTCGCCGCGGCGCCCGTTTTAAAATGAAACGCCTGAAATCCGTCCATCGTGGTGGGAGGAATCGAATCATTTCTCGAACTTCCTCTTCTTCTCCTTCTTCTTCTTCCCTCGGATTGTTCCGTCCTTTCGGAGGGAATTTTCGTTTCGCAATTTGTCGAATAAATAAAACGGGGGGGGGGGGGTGGAGGAGGAAACTTATAATTCACGTTATCTAACGGCTGAATGGGGGAAGCTACGTGTGTGCTGCAAATGCGAAATGAAAGCACCTTTTGATAGCCGCGCGCAAAAGCGATATTAATGAGCTCGAGTGAATGCAGGTCAACCCTATCGCGCAGGCCACCTACTACCATCACCTCCCCCCCCCCCCTCCCCTCCCCCCCCCCATCCCCCGCCCGCCCAGTGGAAAACAGTGGAGAAATACGATATAGTTGGCGTTCGACGTGATACCAAAGTAATTTCGTCGGGATATATAAATATATATATATATATATATTTTTATTATTATTACTATTATATTTATTCTTCGTTCGTACCGGCCGTGAAATTAGCAATGCGCGTATTTTTCTTTTCTCTTTCTCTCTCTCTCTCGTTCTTTCTGCTCGAGTCTCGTCGAGTGCGCGCGTAACATTTTTCGGTTAATTTTTCCGCGACGAGGGGGTGGGAAAAAAAGAAGAGAAAGAGGAGAGAGAGAGAAAAAGGATTTTTCCTTTAATTTGCAGAAACTGTTCGTTCGCCGCGGCGGGGAAAAAAACGAGGTGGCGCGATATTAAATTAAAAGAACGTTGCGTAAATTTATTAAACATATACTACGAATGATGAGGTAAACAAGGTGGAACGAGTTGCGAGGAAATTTCGTTTGAATCGGTGGGGCGAAGGGGAGCGAGAATGAAAGAGAGAACGTTGAAGAAAAGTAACGCGCTGCTTCGCTTTTCGACTCTTTCAAAACCTCGTACGTTTCCACGTTGCGAATAAATCCCCCATCGTTTTCTTAAAAAACGATCGCCTGATCCCAATCTTGGATATATATATATATATTTTTATATTTTTGTGATAAAAATTCGAAACAACAATTTGATGAGAAGAGAAAAATCGAGGAAATTGATGATTTCTTTTTTCCCGTCCTTACTTGACGTCGATAAATAAACTTTATCGAAGAGAGAAAAGGACAAGTGTAATGGAAATTGGACGAACGAGAGAGATGCATCAATGGACCACCGCATCGCGGTATACATACCGCCTCGAAGCTGTGGAAAATGAATGCGGTGGATGAACAGGGATGAATCTGGAAAGATTCGGTCTTAAAAATTGATAGGTTTCAATCACTTGCTCTATTTCACGGAGTGCTCTGTCGTTCCGTTCCCGTTGGATAGCCACGAAACCTGTACAAAAGATACGGTTATAAAATTTTATTCCCCTCCCTCTTAAATATTCGTTCCGGATAGGCGTCGCAACGTCCTCGTCGTTGAAGAGGAGAACGAGTGTCCAAAGCGTGTTGAAAAATCGCTCGCGCCTTTTTTCTTTTCTCTCTCGAATTAAAATTTCAAAACAAATCTCTCTCTCTCTCTCTCTCGTTTAAATATACGCGTTTTATTATTTGTCAACAATGCTCAACAAGAAACCTGTACGACACATTCCACCACCAATTTCCGTATGTTCCTGTTCGTGTTCATTACGACGGATTTGCATATCGTCCCCTCTCCCCCGCTGTAATTAAAACATTATCGGGGGGAATGAAAACACGTTAAAAAATGATGGACGACATTTCTCGAATTAATCGTTGTTCGAATCAATTCGAAAGTCGGGGGTTGGCTACTTATTCCTCGTCGATGCAATATTATTTTTTCGTTGGAATTAAAAGAAAAAAATCGGCTGGCTCGTCCCACTCCGACTCGAGGTATCCGCGACTGACGACTTCTGACAAGCGAGCGCGGCGATGGAACAATATCGATAACTCGCTTAGATCGTCAGAGCGCGAAAGGGAAACGTATTGTTGAAATTTAATTAAAACCAATTTCGAGCACCACTCAAAGACGAGTGGTCTTATATCGGCTGTAACCATCTTTCGCCCTCCCTGAGCTCTGTTGCCCCGGCTAACGACGAGGTAAAAAAGAAAAAAAAAAAAAA